ACTAACATTTGGAAGGAGTTCCATAGAATATTGTACTACTCATTCATACTCTTGCAAGCTTCTGATAGTTCTTACTTCCCTGCACATCTCACTGAAAGCTCATTCTACCAATATGTGGTTATATTTAAAACCTTGGCTTTTGGTTTACTATTCTCTAAAAGAGGGCGATATTTTTTTTTTCCAATGCCCTGCTCCCCTGCCAAAAAAGTGCCAGAAATGCAGTGATTCTGTGCATACACATAATTATAAATACAGTCATTCACTAAAGATTTTTTTTTAAAGATAAGTTTTAAAATATGTAAGTTTTGATGCAATTTTGTTTTATCAGGAAAGGCTCCTTTTTGCTGGAATCGTTGAAACACTCTTTTGAAATAAACTTAAGTATTTCTGTATTTTATAACTAGGTTTATACAGATAGACATAGCATAACGAATCACAACGTCCCTGACCATCCCGACAGAGAAAAATAAGCTCTGTTTTGACTCTAGTTATGCTCCAGGTCTCATGGAGCTGTGTAGTTCAGCTTACTTCAAATTATCAGATGAGGTACTTGACAGTTACATTAAGGAGCTAAAGTCTATACAGCAGTTGTAGATTTGCTAATGCCACTGTATTTTTCTGCTCATAGCATGGACCCATTCATATGACTAATTTAGGTACAGGCTTCTCCAGTCAGAATGAGGTTGAAGGTGCAGGATCGAAGCCAGCAAGTTCCTCAGGCAAAGAGCGAGAGAGGGACAGGTAAGTTAGTTGGAAAATAATTATATGAATGTATTCATATGCCATTTGTTTACACCATTAGTATAAATAGTGACCATTGTTACAAGCTTCCATGTTCTAAAACAAATGATAACACTTGGATCAAACTCCTGTTGTAATTGCTAGAGTAGTGGAAAGTGTGGTGGTATGACTTCCCCCATCTTAGAAGCAGTTATACTTAGCTTTGAGAAATTCAGTGCCTGCTTATTCAGGCATCTTCCTTTAATCTCATTGTCTGCATCTTGGCCTGCCCCGCCCCCCCCTTTTTTTTTCAGGGTAGGCAGTAGTTATACAATCAAGCCATTTTTGCTACTTAGAGTCATGCTCTTGAACAGGAGTCCAGCCTGCTGTCCAGTGCTTGAATTCCCCCTCCCTCTATTATTATTATTAACCTTCATAAGAGGGAGCTCACTTCTACAACAGTTCATTATGTTTTTGGCATGGCCTGGCTATGTAGACAAAGCCTCATAATCTTACAACTTGAAAATAGCTTAAAGTACAGAGGGTCAGGTAAAAAGATTGAAATTAATGGTGAAAAGGAACATGAAACATTAACTACAGGCTGTATTGTTATCCTTACTGGAGAATTTAAAATTTAATTTATCTGAGTCATGTCTGTTTTTTGTGGTGGTGTTTTTAACAGGCAGTTGATGCCTCCGCCAGCCTTTCCAGTGACTGGAATAAAAACAGAGTCTGATGAAAGGAATGGGTCTGGGACCTTAACAGGGAGCCATGGTGAGTGAGGTATCACTGGGGGGCTGTGGGGGTATCTTTAAGCTAGTAGTTTTCTAACCCGGTGTTCATTAAAGGTGTGATTCATTTAGGTATTTAATCCAACCTCTATAATCTAATGAGAATACTTTTTTTTTTTATTTATATGGACAGCATATAGTTACACAGCCTTTTATTTTCAACCGACGTGTGTCTAGAAAAGTCAGTCGACTTACATTTTATATATAACATCAATGATATTAAACTGTAGGAAATACTAATGATTGGTAGGTCATTTCAAAATTTTGTTGACTCATCTAAACACTTGGAGCTAATTGAAACAGATTTAAATAAAGATTGATTTTTTGTGTGTGTTGAGAACTGAGCCACATCTCCGCTCAAAGCTCTGTTGGTTGGGAATGGTCAGCGTGTGGCTATTATAAAAAATGTTGCTTCTTAGTATTGCAGAACTCTAGAAGTGCATGCCTATAGTCATAATAAAAAGGAACAGAAGAAAGTAAAATTTTTTCTTTTCTTCTTTTCTTTAAACTCTTTAAAAGGTGAAATATCAGCCTCCAGAGACTCACTTGCTAACTTTCCTTTTTTCTTTTCTTTTTCTTTTTTTTTTTTTTTTTTTGTGTTTCTTTTTTTCTTTCTCTGTTTTCTTACATGGTTCTGGTGGATTCACATTTGCTGATGCTGGTGCTGTTTTTCGTGTGACCTTCAACGCTTTTGGGTGACCACTGACCCTGTGACCTGAAAATGGTGTCCAACTAACCACTTAAAATTAACATCTTTTTTTTAATTAACGAATTTATGGTATTATCTTTTTTTTTCCCTTCTTGGGGAACGGGGTTGGGGTTGTTTTTCTTCATTCTAGATTATCCAGTCAAGAAGATGAAAACTGCAGAGAAGGGATTTGGTTTGGTGGCTTATGCTGCAGATTCATCGGACGAAGAGGAGGAACATGGAGGTCATAAAAATGCAAGTAGTTTTCCACAGGGCTGGAGTTTGGGATATCAGTACCCGTCATCACAACCACGAGCTAAACAACAGATGCCATTCTGGATGGCCCCGTAGGAAACAGTGGAACAGAGTTTTGACCCTCGGTGACTCTTCTTTAGCAATAATGCATGCACTTGATTTAACAAGACTTTGGCCTGTACTGGGAACCATCGTGGACCTTTGCAGAAGTTAGAGATGCAGTGTCCCATTTCTTAAAAGGCTTTCATTCCTTTTAAAATACCTTTTTCTTCAGTGGCATAGCATCTGTTAAAATTTACTTAGGATCACAAATTTGTCTCAGAAGATTTTTTTTTTTTTTTTAACAGTTGGTGAAATGTGCTTGTTCAGCAGAGCATCTCAGTGGGGTCATTCCAGTATACATTTGACCTGGTCCGGCATTTCCAAATACATAGCCCCTATTCTGACATAGACAGTTTTATTTGTATTTTGCTATTGTATGGTCAGCTTTAATAATAACTTGTTAAAAACCAAGCCTTACTATTTATTGGTGGGGAAATGATTTTAAGACCATATTTTCCTTTCGGCACTAAATCTACAAATTCCTCATCCCTATTCCATTGTTGGATTCTTTCTGTTTTGGAGAGTGCTGTTTTACTAATTTAAAATGGTCAGATATAGCTGGATCCTGGGTAGTAAAATGAAGTTTTGTGTTTTTTTTTTCATTGTATCTTTTTATTGGGATGATCCAAAGCTGGCATCCTCGGGCACACTTGTCTCACTCAGATAGCCGTTGCTGTTGTTATTGCTCGTCTAAGCTCTTGTCTTCAACTGGGTCAGAGAAAACTACTTGATCAAAAGCTGGTCAGAACTCATCATAGAAATGAAAACAGTGGTTCTGTCTCTCTCAGAACTGGTTGCAGCTAAAATAGAGAGATTTGACTGCTGGCAATAGGATGGTGGACTTAGTGACTGAAATTGGAACTTGTCTTTTTCTTGGCATTACAGGTTTTGCCAAAAGAACTTTTTTGTATCAAATACTGATGTGTGAAAGTGAAGGAGCTAGTCTGCTGAATCAGTAGTTTGAGATACGGAACTGTCATTTTTTGCACATTTGAATACTTTGCAGGCTGGCTTTGTATAAACTTACCCTCTGGTTTCCTATATGTTGTAAATATTTAGACCATAATGTCATTATTAATAAATGTATAAACTGCTTGTGGTTTCTGTTTTTTATTCCACAACCCATCCATACATTAAATTCATAAATTTGTTCACTTACAGCACAATGACATTCTAACCCCACCAGGAAAATACATGGACCCAAAAGTTTGCATACAGTTGTATGAGCTTCATGGCTTTCCAAAGTAAACCCCTGAAAGTTCAGATGAAAATGTAAAGGACTGTATCATGGTGGGTGTTTATATTTTAGCTCTCCTGTGTTAAATGTGGTTCAAGAGACTGAGTAAATGAAACATCTTTAAAAGAAATGCAAATTATTCTTCGGAAAGCATTCTGAAAAAGGAAGTAGGGTGGGCAGAAGTTTCAACAGACTGAAGATTTCCCTTCTATCCCTGGCTAGTATGGCTCAGTGGATTTGATGTGGTTTGGCCTGCGAACCAGGGGGTTGCTGGTTGGTGTACCTCCCGTGGTTGTGCACCAGGTCCCCAGTTGGGGGCGAAGGGGGGAGGGTGGGAGGTAACTACATTGGTGTTCATCTTCCCTCCCCCACTCAAAATCTTTTTTAAAAAGAGATTGCCCTTCTAGTAAAATAGAGAAATACAGTGATATTTTCATTTATTTCTGTATTCCAAGACCACCTGAAAATTCCAGTTTATTTCTTGTTGGTGGGTAGTCCATTTGTATACAACAAAACAGTTTTAATGGGTTTCATTTACATATGTTTAGAATTCAAAACTGCCCAACTACAACAGGGAGTTTAAACTGCAATACCTGACTAGTCAAGGATCCTGACCTCTTTTCCCATTGATTGTCAAATTAAAAATGACAACAGGCAACACAATAGCTGTCTTGTGTGAATGAGTCAAAATTACATTTTTTTGGCCAGATCTGCAAAAAATATTTTTTGGTGTACCACAGAATTTTAGTAATTACCTGTGCCATGAGATGAAAAAGGTTGAAACTCAACTATATTACCTGGTTTTTGACATCAGATCTACTGTTTTCAAGACCGCAAGTCATAACTTTCCTTGGGGAAATCTTGCTGTTGCTGCTGCTGCCATTAAGCCCTAAACTGAATCTCGGTTCTGTTTTGGGGGAGGATTTGGTGGGTGCCGATTTCCGGTTTCCCTTTACATTTGGTCAATTAATCACAAGCAGCAGGCAATCCTGAGTAAGTTATTTAAAGGGACCCCTATATGTCTCATCGCATCCTCCATCATCCTTGACTTGTATAAATAATAGCTTTAGCATGTTTTTGTGTGCATACTTGGAGCACAGTACTTTACCGAATAAATGCCCTTTAGTGGTGAGTCGCCGGAACTGGGCTAGAGGACCTGGAAGGGTCAGGTCCCTCCCCGGTCGCTACGTCAGGGGGCAGCTCCGCCCCTCTCGCTGGTGGCGCCATCTTCCCCCGCTGCGGGAGGGGTCACGGGTCAGTACTGGATCGTCGCCCAGAGAGAAGGAGGACGGAAGGGTGATCAGACTCGGCGTGGCCTTCACGTCCTGAAGGTACAAGCAGCGGGGCTCCTCTTGTGGCGGAAGGGTGGGGGACGTGATGGCGGCGGAGGTGCCCCTGAGGGAGGGGCGCTGTCTCAGAGAAGAACGGGAGGGGCGGAACCTTGAGACTGCGTGGGGGGGGGGGGTCGTAAGAGCACCCCTGAGGCCTGAGCGGTACTCTGCCTTTGATCCCCAAACCTTAATTTTATTTTTTATTATTAAAATTTTTTAAAAATATATTTATTGATTTTAGAGGGGAAGGGAGACAGAGAGAACATTGATGTGAGAGAGAAACATCGATTGGTTGCCTCCCCATACTGGCCGCTTCTGGGGACAGGGGATGGAACCCGCAACCTAGGTAAGTGTCCTGACCAGGAATCCAGTCCCCAACCTTTTGGTGTATGGGACACAGGCTCCAACCGACTGAGCCACTAGGCCAAGGCCCCAAACCTCAGTCTCCTTTTCAGAACCTTACTGTGCAGTTCCCCGGTCTGAAAAGAAATTCTGAATTCCTTTGTGCCTTTTATTTTTCTTTTGGAAAACCTATGATGTGTTATGGGACTGAACTGACCTGGAGCGCCCCTGCAATGCTCCAGCAGGAAGCAGGAGTGGTATGGGCATGCAGGGCACGGGCTCTGGGACTGTCCTCAGGGTTGTTGCCATCCTGAATTAAATATTTTCTTCTTTCTTGGTAGGTGCCTTTTCCTTTGTGGCAGCCCAGGAGTCTCAAGAGAATGGATTCAGGAACTCGCCCAGTTGGTAGCTGCTGTAGCAGCCCTGCAGGGCTCTCACGGGAATACAAACTAGTGATGCTGGGTGCTGGTGGTGTAGGGAAGAGTGGTAGGTGAAATTTTTCTTCCTGTTTATAAGAACTAAGGATGAGCCCTAGCTTCTGTGGCTCAGTGGATTAAGTGCCAGCCTGTGAACCGAAAGGTCACCGGTTCGATTCCTGGCCAGGCCCCATGCCTGGATTGAGGGCCAGGTCCCCAGTTGGGCTTGTGTAAGAGGCAACCCTATCGATGTATATGTATCTATCACACATCGATGTTTCTCTCTCTCTTTTTCTCCCTCCCTCCCTCTCTCTAAAAATAAGTAAATAAAATATTTTTAAAAAGAACTAAGGATGAAATTCTTTAAAAGAAATGACTTTACTCAAACCAAATGGGATACTGGCTATCATGCCATTTTGATACTTAGAATTCTCTCCGTGGGTCAGTAACCTTTGGGTGGGTTTTAATATTCATTTCTTGTTTTGAAGCCATGACCATGCAGTTCATCAGCCACCGATTCCCAGAAGATCATGACCCCACCATCGGTAAGTCAGATTGTCACATAGGTTTCTAAATAAACCCCATAAAAGTGTCTTGGTGTCAGGTTTTTGCTGTTGTTGTTTTTAAAGATTTTATTAATTTATTTTTGGGGGGGAAAGAGGGAGAGAAATGTCAATGTGTGGTTGCATTTCTCCCCCCCCCCCTCCCCGGACCTGGGCCTGGCCCACAACCCAGGCATGTGCCCTACACTGGGAATCGAACCGGTAACCCTTTGGTTCGCAGGCCAGAGCTCAGTCCACTGAGCCACACCAGTCAGGGCTTGGTGTCATTTTTAAAAAACGGTTTTTAACTTTTTATATTTGGAGCCTTTCTTGGTGTCTAATTTAACAGGAGTATCAGAGCAGTTGGTAAGCAAATGAATGTATTTTTTTCCTCACTTAATTCTATGTGGACATAAGCTATCTTTAGTTTCTGTCTTTTACTGAACATTAATGGGATACTTTCTTTGTCATATTTTTATGGTTATACTATATTGCTAGATTAAAGGAAAAGTTTAAAGGCCACTTAACAGAAACCTTTTGCTGTCACTTCTCTAAGGGTCTGACTTGAGACTGACTCTGTAGCTATGAGTCAGCTGGTTTGAACTTCCACAAAAGGAAGCAGAAAAACAAGTAGAGCCAGTCTGCTAAACTCTTTAACAGTCCAGACATGGAGAGACTGGACTTCCACTGAAGCTCTTCATTTACTTCCTTATAGCTCAAGTTCATTAAATAGTAAGGTCTTCCTTCATGTCTTTTATAATCCTTAATACTGTTAGAGTAAAAAGTAACTTTATTTTGCCTTTTTTTAAAAATTGCTTTTCTCTACAAAGACTTAAGAACATTACTGTCATTCCTAAACCATAAGGAAGCAGGTTTGATTCAAAGGGGTTATGTCTCAGTATAAAACCTGAGAGTGTTGGTCTGCCAAACTAGTATTTTCAGGATGTGACACTTTGTCATGGTCTGTGGGACTCTAGGAAAGATTTGCATTAACTCAGGCTTCCGCTGCTTTGTTTTCCACAAAGCCAGTGAGTGTCTGTGCTAACCCAGCTTTGGATGTGGTCATTTTGTATAGCATATGCTGTGGATGGGGGACAGTAGCAACAGCGCTTGCTTTTTAATGTGCTGTACTAAATTTAAAACACTTTTCAGGGATTCAAACTCTGGTGAGAATTCTAGGAATAAAACCAAGTTAAGGCTTAGGATAATGTACTTAAAATTCCAAAAATATCTTTTTTTTTCCCCCATTGATAATCAGCTACTCTCCTGACAATATGAACTGATTCACCAACAAATACTTAGGTCACTTGAGTTCCTTTTATGTCCCAAGCACTGTGGTAGGCCCTGGGGGTAGAGTGGTGAGCAAAAGGATACTGTGCCTGTTCCCATTACGGTTATAATTTAGTGTATTTTGTTTTAAACTGCGGCTGCTAACTCTAAGAAAAAGTTTATATTGTAACTAGTACACGTATTAAATATGTGTTTGCATATATCATATACATATGCACATGTAATTAAAATAACGCAAAACTGTGTACCTCACTAAATGTGGTGCACTTCTTGCATTTTCTCTTTTATTTAAGGTTTCTACTAGTTTTAAGAGAATGAGTTGGAACTAGCTCATTAAATTCATTCACAACTCACTAATCTTAATGGACTTGTAGTTTGAGAAACATTGATTTAGTGGGATCTTCACTTTGAGGAAGAGTCAGAGCAGGGGTTCAAGGAAAAAATGTGTAAGAAAATACATAAGGATTTAAGTAGCATTTGTTGAAATGATGGACATAGAGGAACTATAGCATATGGTTAAGTATATGTGGCTTTTGAGTCAAGCAGCCTTGAGTTTTAATTCTGGCTATATTATTAATTTACTGTATAATGTGGGGAGATTCAATTTTTAGAGTTTATTTACTTTTTTATCTGTAAGGTGGAGATGATAATTCCTCATTGCATTGTTATTGAATGAGTTAATGTATATAAATTACTAAGTGTAATACCTGGCATCTAATAACTTTTTTTTAATCCTCACCTAAGGACATGCTTCCTGATTTTAGAGAGAAGGGAAGGGAGGGAGAGGGAAACAAACATCTATGTGAGAGAGAAACATCAATCTGTTGCCTCCCATATGCAGCCTGATCAGGGACTGAATCTGCAACCCAGGCATGTGCCCTATCCAGGAATCAAACCCATGACCTTTCAGTTTACAGACTGTCCTTCAACCAACAGCACCACACTGGCCAGGGCTAATAACTATTTAATAAATGGTAAAGTTACTTTTTGGCCTAATATTTAAAAAAAAAAAAAAAAACTCTCTCAGAATCCTTCTTTAGTTTAGAATTGTAGGTGGCCCTGGCCGGTGTGTCTCATTGGTTAGAGCACCATCCTGTAGACCAAAAGGTCATGGGCTTGATTTCCAGTCTGGACACACACCCAGGTTGTAGGTTCAATCCCTGGTCTGGGCGCATAAACCAATTGATATTTCTCACATCGATGTTTCTTTTTTCTTTCTCCCTTCTCTCTTTCAAAAAACAATGAGAAAAGTCTTCAGATGAGAATTTAAAAAAATAGAGTTGTAGGTAAAGTTTTAAACAAGCTTAAGCTGTGGAGGGTAAAAACCTTAGGTGAAGACCCATTGTATGTATCTCAGTGGATTTAGCATGCTTCCTGAGAAAACGTGGCCACTGAAAGAACTTGTGCAGTCTGCTTTTCCATAAAATGAATTTTAAAGTAGAGTTGCATATTCCTGCATTTTGGATTCATAGTACACCTTTCTTCTTTCTGTAGAAGATGCTTATAAAATCCGAATCCGTATTGATGATGAGCCTGCCAATCTGGACATTTTGGATACGGCTGGACAGGTATCAAATCCCAGAATGCTATGAATAAAGACCTTTTCCCTCTAGTAAAGAGGAGAAGGCTTATGCCAAGAATATCACTAGTTCATGTCTTTTAATTTTTCATGCACTCTCTGACTCAGGATAGCAGGTAATCAACCTATCTCTTCTTTAATCTGAAATAAATAAGTGACATGTATGTAGGTCTAGGTTGCATCAGTACATTAATGATCCTTTTTCCCTTCTAGGCAGAGTTTACAGCCATGCGGGATCAGTATATGAGGGCAGGAGAAGGGTTTATCATCTGTTACTCTATCACCGATCGTCGAAGTTTTCATGAAGTTCGAGAGTTTAAACAGCTTATTTATCGAGTTCGACGTACTGATGATACACCTGTGGTTCTTGTAGGAAACAAGTCTGACCTAAAGCAGCTAAGACAGGTGAGGATAGAGTTAAAAATGCTGTCTGTAATTTAGTGGGATTTTGTTGTTCTGCTTACAGCGTCCTCTGTCTTAAAGTAAAAGTTTAAAATGAGCTTCTTCAGCCCTGGCTGTTGTGATTCAGTGGATTGAGTACCAGTCTGCGAACTGAAGGGTCTCCAGATCAGTTTCTAGTCAGAGCATATGCCTGGGTTGTGGGCCAGGTCCCTGGTTGGGGGGCATGCGAGAGGCAACCAATTGATGTTTTTCCTCCCCCTTTCCTCTCTCTCTAAAAATAAATAAATAAAATCCATAAAATAAAGTTAGCTTCTCCCTAACCTTGAAAATTTCCTGGTATATACTAATTTGCTATTATTTGAGATAAAATCTAAATTTTAGGAATCAGTTTACAGGACAAAATCCCTAGGTTAGTAATCAGATGACACATAGAATATGCATAAAGTCAGCAGTCCCCAACCTTTTTGGACCAAAGACTGGTTTTGTGGACAATAACTCACAATGTTTCCTGGACCAGGTTGGGGGAGGAGAGTTTCAGGCTGATTCAAGTGCCCTACATTGAAGCTCACCTCTTATTGTGCAGCCGGTTCCTGACAATTGAACATTGGGAAATAAGTCCATCAGAAATAAATCTGTTTATGCTGCATCAGAAGAAACTTAAGTTAGACTTTAAGATATACTTCCTGATGGTGCGGATTATGAGCCCTGGAAAGAGAGAATAAGAGAAATTGTAGAGGATTTTAGAATGTGATACCTTTCAAGTTAGCAATGATGTTTAAAGTTTTTCTGTTTGGTGTAGAGTTTCTGAAGGTGTAGCGAAACAGGCACTTATGAGTAGTAGCAGAAGCAATGAATGGTACACATTTTTGGAAGTAGTTTGACTCCAGAAAATCTATTCAGGGATTTATACATAAAATGTTTATTGCCAGGCTATTTATAGTAGCAAAAAATTAGGAAAAAGTCTAAATACCCAAAAGTAGGAGAAATTATAGCATACCCCTAACTGGACGTATCAATTTTGGGTTCCTTATAGTTTTCATTATTATAGTTAAAGTATACATCTGTTTGCCTTGTGTTTTACTTTCTTAAAATGAAAAGTATGAAGAATAGTAAGATTGCATGTTTGATACCTATAACTGTTCCCTGTTCCAAAAAGTTATCTTTAAAATAGAATATTAATAGATTCATATAATTTGAAGGCAGAAGGAATCCTAGAACTCATGCAGTTTAGCCTCCCAGCATTACAGAAAGCACTGCATTGTGCTTAAATACTCCCAGAATAGAGGAGCTCTCTTCCTGTCCAGGTAGCCCCTTCACTTTTCTGGGTGGTTGCAATTGTTTTCCACTGGTACCACTATAAATTTTCTCCTGTTTACATTTTTAAAGGTCACCAAGGAAGAAGGATTGGCTTTGGCCCGAGAATTCAGCTGTCCCTTTTTTGAGACATCTGCTGCATACCGCTACTACATCGATGATGTATTCCATGCCCTTGTCCGGGAGATACGTAGGAAAGAAAAGGAGGCAGTACTGGCCATGGAGAAAAAGTCTAAACCCAAAAACAGCGTATGGAAGAGGCTAAAATCACCATTCCGGAAGAAGAAAGATTCAGTAACTTGACGTTGGGAAGTGTTTGTAACTGCAGTGCTTAGTCACAGCAGTCCGGTAAAAGTAACTGATGAAGGAGGCATGCCCGCTGGGAGTTTCCAGTGATGTGGTATTTAATATATTGTCTCTTAGCTAATTCTGATTTATTAACCCAGTGGAGCACTGTCTGCTTTTAAGTCACATTAGAATTTGACCTACTATAGTTTTGGGTTCTGTTGCTATTAATTAATTAATATAAATTGTTTTTATCCAGGGGACTATGTATACCATGTGTGCTTGACTAAGCTCACAGGAAGAATTTTTTGCCATGTACTGCTACACATTATCTTTCACCTTCAGTCTCCTGGGATTATTCCAGAAAAGGACCTCAGTCTTTTCTATTTACCTTGTACTTCCTGGAGACAGAAGAAAAATAATATAGAGAAACCAGTGCTAAAGAGATCGGTGCCGAAGTTCAGCAAATAGCTGTGGAACTGACCCCTGTTGCCAGTTACGCAGTGATGAGATTTGGGAGATTTGGGCCATATGTTCTGGCTAGAAAAACAGTAGGGTCAGAACAGTATTCCCACTATGGGCCTAGCTTTGCTAAGAAGTGTACTGGGATGGGTGAGAACAAACAAGCATTTAAGATGTAATGAAGGGTTCTCTTACAAGGTTCTTTTACTCTTCCTTTTGGGCTTTGGACTTTCTTTTACCTTCAAAGGTAAACAGTTTGGGAACCTTTACTACATTACTAAACTCAATTAATCTAAATCCTTAGTTGGAACAACCATTGCTTTGTACAGGTTCATTTTTTTTCACCGGAGATGCATTCACCAATATATTTACATTAATTGTTTCCTGGTGCTTTTCCTTAGCTTCCCTGTGCTCTTTATAAGAGCTAGGCCTGGCAAAATGTTTTTAGGCCCTTCGTGAGACTGACTGAATTTTCCGTACAGAAGAGACATCAGTTTGAGTAAAATTGTATACGTGCCTCCATGACATTGACAATCACTAGACTTGGTGTTCTAAGAAAGCCTGTGGTATTTCTGTTTAGCGAGCCAGCCTTGAAGCTTTAAAATTCCCGTGCGATGAGTTTCTCATTGAAGATTTCTTTACAAGGATCTTACTAAGTTCACCTCAGGGTGTCTGAGCCTTGACAAAGGTTAGCTTAAGAGAATACCACTTTGATAATCTGCATAATTGAGAAACTGTTTTCCTGGGAAGAAACAGCTTTAAATATTGGTGGTTAGTTCTCTCTTTTAGAATCAGGATAGTTTAGTATCTGAACTGGTTATGTGTGGAGATTAAATGCAAAAGTGCTAAGAGTAGTGTAGTATATATTGAACATTACATGTCACTAAAGCAGTGTTCTTGTCCACATCAAACTCTTAAGAACAGGATTTTGTGAAGTGCCTCTTAAAGAGCACATAGCTCAACTTACTGTGTCCATTTTTATTATAGGCAGAAGGACAGGGTTTTTGTATATTTCCTTATAATCAATACTGTATGTTCTAAGCTTAAAAATGATGGTTTTAACTTTTTTAGCTGAGTAGTTGGTTCCTTTTGAAACTCCTGGAAATGTTTTTGCTACTAGATAAGTCATGTTTTATGGTACTCAAGCCATTCAAAAGCAAAAGACCCAGAATTAAATTTTGCAGGACAGTCTTACAGGAATAAAATGGTTCATGGAGAAGCATGAAGATAGAAAATAGATACAGTGCAATTCAGTTTTAACAGTATTTCACCACATAAACTAGCCCGTAGCCTTTTAAGTTTAATGCATTTGCTGTCATTACTAATGACCTAAGGAAGTGTTATTAGCATCAAGCAAGAAGTTGACAGCTATATATTTACTCGTGACAGACAAGGTAGCCGAGAACATTGCCAGAAAGATAGATCTGTAAGACAGGAGGGAATTTGTATTCTGTAAAAGAAAAAATAGAAATTAATGTTTTTAAGACTGTCACTATCAGGGCCCTCCCTCTTGGGAACATGCCTAAGCATGTGTTGCTTCTCAGGTGTGCATCTCCTAAACCCTAAGGGTCCCCGTGAGACTTGTACCCAGGGAAGCAATGGGCAGCAGAATCTTCTCTGGGGTTAGACCCCCATTTCTCTGACTCTTCAGTAAGCCAGTAGTAGCCCCTCCTTGGCTCACTTCTGTCACTGTGACTTTTACTCCCCAGTGAGCTAACAGCAGGCCCACCTTGGCGCACTTCTTTCCTATAATGTCTCTGGGGAGCCAAAACAGCCTCACCTAGGCCCTCTCCTGTTGCTTCTTCTATCCTAGGCCCTTCCTTGTTTCACTGTCCCCAGCTTTAATAAACATACTCTCAAAGTTTTAAGAAAAAAACTATCACTGTCATATATTTGATTGTTGGATTAGTTAGCCTATCAATTAGTATTCAGAATTCTCTCCATGGTGCTAAATAGTGTGAGGGGTATCACGTGTATAAGTCATATCTCTCAGTGATCATATAGTGTACATAATTTATAAGCTCTAAGTAGTCAGCTTTATCAAATTTGTGGGCATTAAAATCAATTACTGCCTGAAACATTGCAGAGACAAAAATTCAGGGACAAGTTGAAAAGCACTGGAACTATTGATGTCCGTACCAGATTCGTAAGTTACAAAATTTAGAAGCTAGTGTCTACAATTCAGAAAGGGATATATGTTTTAACTTCATGATATATTAGCAAGAATTGGTCCACTGTGATGTTTGGGGAGGAGAAGGAAGAGCCATTTTTCACTTACACCCTTGTATATGAAGATGGTTTGTATGGCACAATACAGAACTTGTAAACAAATTATTGGGCTTTTCCTTTACTTACCTATGTGGGGAGAAAGGTTTGGAATCATTGCAAAGAGTCTTTTTAAGGAAAAAAATGCCAAGTGACTTTATATTCTGGAAAATATCGATTCAAAAAAATTTTAGTGTTCACCATGTACAGAACACCTATGTCAAGTGCTAGGGAGCATGCCATGAATGCTCCTTCGTTCAGATGAGCTCTTGGGTGGGGTGACAGGAAAAACACATTGAAAATGATAGCATCTTTGCCACCTGATCAAGGGTTAAAGTTGTTTCAAGTATGTAAACTAAATGTGAGAGCATGAAGAATAAATTTTTATGTGAAGGTCATTGCTTTTATCCTCACTTCTAAATGGGCATCACTGTTTGTAGAGAGGACTTAGCTGAGACATGAAAGGGGTTTATTTTTGTGTCTTCATTATTTTAGTGAGTGGGTCAGTAACTGTCAGTGTAGTTCACTATTGAGATTGGTAACAAAGGCATGGCATTCCATTTTCTAGTGTAAGGTTTGTTGAGAAAGGCAATGGAATTACAGTCAAAGTATATATGAGCCTCTTCTGTACACTAAGCACTCTTTTAAGAGCTGTGAGGGATTCAAAGGAGCATGAAATAACCATGCTTTTGAGCGTTGATAAAATTATGAGTATAAAACATCTAGATATTGATTGTAAAGTACTGTAGTATGTTATGTGCTCCAAACTGGGAATGTTAGAGGAATTCAGAGAAGGAATTAGTATGGCTGGGCAGACCAGAGGAGCTGACTCTTTAAGAACAGGCTAACTGAGCCGTGGCTGGTGTGGCTCAGTGGATTGAGCACCAGTTTGATCCCTGGCTGGGGCACATGGCTGAGTTGCCAGCCAGGTCCCTTGGAGGCATGAGAGAGGCAGCCCATCAATGTTTCCCTCTCTCCTTCCCACCCCCTCTCTCTAAAAATAAATTTAAAAATCTTAAGAAGAAGAGGCAAATTGAGAGATTGAATTTAACCTGAATATAATAAGATCAAAGAGATGTAACTTCTGAAGTTTCTCATGCCTAGTCTTTATTGCTTATTTTCTTCTTAAGATTTTTTTCTTAATATAAATTTAGTAAGCTCCTGACAAATAATTCGGAGTGTTGCGTCTTCCAAATTTAGTCTTAAGAAGGATGAGACATAGAGTCCTTGCTAAGTTTGACAAACACTTGGCTTTGAAACATAGCCCAATACTGAAAATGTTGGATATGTAGTAATCCTGGATTTTCCCAGCTTCAAATTAAAATTTATTTTCAAATTATTCCTCTTTTCATCAGCTCAGTTGGAACTGAAACTTAGTTCCATACAAGTTCTCTGACTAAAAAATTATTCACCTATCCTCAAAATACCTCTAAATGATCTCACTGCACAAAATAATGTCTTTATCCCTTTTTTCACCAATAAGAATTGCTATGAAATAATTAGGTAAATCATGAATTAGAATAAGTAAATTTGACTTCTGGTCATGATGGAGACATGGGTAAACACAGCTTGCCTTGCACAATCACAGCAAAAATTACAACTAAACTACAAAACATCTATCACCCAGAATCGTCAAAAAATCAAGCTGTGTGAAAGTCAGCCAAGGAATTCAAGAAGTCACATTCATTCAGATGGGTAGGAGGGGCAGAGATGTGGAATGAGTAGTTCCATACCCACGTGTGGTGGGTAAAAATCAGGAGGGGTATATTGGGAGTGAGGGATCCCAGCCCCACACTAGACCACCTAGCCCAGGTTTCCAGTGCCAGGAAGATAAGTCTCCATAACTTCTGGATGCAAAAACCAGTGGGGGTTGGGGTGGCAGAAGAAACTGGGGGATTCTCAGGCATCTCCCATTAAAGGGTCTGCAACAGATTTGGGTCTCATGCAGACTCACTCCCTCTGGCGTCCAGCACAGGGGCAGCAGCTTGAAGAAGACCAGTGGCATATGGGGAGAAACAAGTGTTTGACATCAAGGTGAGTGCTGGGGGACAGATTCCTTCCAGACAGAACTCCAGAGGCCAGGCAATGGCCATTATACCTTTACTGAGCCCTCTCCCACAGAGACACATCAGAGACTCCATCAACCTGGTTCAATGGGTCCTCCTGACCAGGCAATTACCTACGGCTTCACCCCATCCAACTAATGGGTATACTTTTCTACATTAGGTCACGCTAGTAAGACAGGATGTCAAAGTAGCTCTATCTAATACATAGAAACAAACACAGGGAGGCTGCCAAAATGAGGAGACAAAGAAATATGGCCCAAATGAAAGAACAACAAAACTCCAGAAAAAGAACTAAACAATATGGATATGAGCAATCTATCAAATGCAGAGTTCAAAACATGGTTATTAGGATGCTCAGGGAACTCATTGGTTACTTGAACAGCATAAAAAAGATCCAGGCAGAAATAAAGTTTACACTAAGGAAAAGAAAAATTTACAGGGAATCAATAGTGGAGTGGATGAAGCCAAGAAGCAAATCAATGATTTGAAACACAAGGAAGAAAAATTCAATCAGAACAGCAATAAGAAAAAAGGGGAAAAAATGAGAATAGAGTAAAGGAACCTCAGGGAGAACTTCAAATTTACCAACATTTGAATCAGAGGGGTGCTGGAAGGAGAAGAGAAAGAGCAAGAAAATGAAAACTTATTTGAAAAAATAATGAAAGAAAACTTCCCTAGTTTGGCAAAAGAAATAGACATACAAGTCCAGGAAGCACCAAGAGTCCCAAACAAGTTGGACCCAAAGAGGACCACACCAATACACATCATAATTAAAATGCCAAAGGTTAAAGATAAAGAGAGAATCTTAAAACAGCAAGAGAAAAGCAGAGAGTTACCTACAAAGGAGTTCCCATCAGACTGTCAACTGAGTTCTCCAAAGAAACTTTTGCAGGCTAGAAGGGGCTGGCAAGAAGCATTCCCAGTGATGAAAAGCAAGGACCTAAATCTAGATGACTCTATCCAGCAAAGGTATAATTTAGAATGGAAGGGCAGATAAAGTGCTTCCCAGACAAGGTAAAGCTGAAGGAGTTCATCATCACCAAACCATTATTACATGAAATGTTAAAGGGACTTATTTATGAAAAAGATTTAAAAAAATGAACATTAAAATGGTAAATTCACAACTATCAACATTTGAATCTAATAAACTAAGCAAACAAGCAGAACAGAAACAACTATAGACACGGAGATCATTTGGATGGTTACCAGTTGGGAGAGGGAAGGGGAAAAAAGGGGGGAAAGGTGCAGGAATTAAGAAGTACAAGTTGGTAGCTACAAAATAGACAGGGGGATGTTAAGAACAGTATAGGAAATGGAATAGCCAAAGAATTTACACACATGACCCATGTATGTGAACTAAGGCAGGGATTGCTGGAGAGAATGGAGGGTCCTGAGTAAAGGAGGGCAAAGGGGGAAAAAATTGGACAACTGCAATAGCACAATCAATAATTTTTTTTTTTTTTTTTTTTTTTGCCCTGGCTGGTGTCGCTCAGTGGATTAAGTGCTGCTCTGCAAATCAAAAGGTCGCTGTTTCAACTCCCAGTCAGGGTACATGCCTGGGTTGCAAGGCAGGTCACCAGTTGGGGGTGTGTGAGAGGCAGCCAATTGAAGTTCCTCTCACACATGGATGTTTCTCTCCCTCTCTCAAATAAATAAATAAATAAATAAATAAATAAAACCTTTCTTAAAAAGAAAATAGCAACTGTATATTTTACTCAGAAGTTTTGCCAAGTTTTTCCTCAGTGAAACAAGTTTGGGGATGAGTCTGTTGCTATTCTTTCTTGGTTTATTGGTTAACTGTTTCAATGGTGTGCTGTTCATCTATTTGGCTAGACTGCACCAATATCCTTGAAGAAACCTAGAGCTTCCTTAGCTCTTATTTGCAGAAAGACTGATTCAGTTGAATTCCTAGAACATTCCCAGTTTAGAGAACATAACTGACTTGCTGCCTGTTTGGCATCACTATTTAGGAGTGTGGGACCAAGTATGACCGGGAGGAGCCAGGATAGATTTTAAGAAAAATGTAGTCAGACAGCATTGAGTCAACTTGTCTGTCAAGCCTTGAAGACCTATTTTCCTTCACTAGCCAGGGCTGGTGCATGGACAGCTTTCTTATGGTGAAATGAGTTAACCTACCTAAAGACTCTTAACACATGGTTTTCTCCTGGGAGAATACAATTGATTGGCAAGACAAGGCAACATAAAAACAGACTTTACATTGACTAATTAAAACAATGTATTGAGAGATCTAGGATTAAATTTGTAGGTGGAGTTAGACCACAAAGATTTCTCAAAAGGAGTAAAAGTGACTTGGAACAGAGAAGTCAAGAACTGTATATATAGGACAATTCTGATACAGGATTTGAGAGTGGGAAAGCCAAGACTATTATGTTACACACAGAATGGACATCAAGAGGCAAGTTTGGGGTTAAAGGAAATGAGCTGGCATAAAGCAAGAGACCAATAAGCAGGGATAACTGGGTAGAAAGTCATGAAGTCCAGTCTGAAGTGTACGTGGGTCCCAAATACCTGGTTATTCTTGTTA